TAATAAGGTCAATGGAAATAAGGAACAAAAATTTGGAAATAAAGTCATTGACGCTATTTCCTCATTCAAATGGAAATAGCGTCAACAATCCTTAAAGTATGTCGATTCATAGAAAAAAATGTTGTTCTTACAATAAACATTGCCCCGTAAGTGTTGTTTTTTAATAGATGAAAAAGGCTTTTGCCAAATCCTCAGTGTTGTGATATTAATCCACACACAATCATGAACCACCACCAATTGATTCTATTAAAAAAATTTTAAACTACGAATATGTAAAAACACGATGCGAAAAACTAAACGCCTGCGCACAGCTGGAATACGACAAATATTTGAAGAAATTTGCAAAACATTTTTCGTTTCTACAAAAATAAAGCGAACACTATTAAATTGAAGAAACAGTCCATCTCCAAAAACCCCGGAGGAGCACTGAAGGAATTCTGTGTTTTAAATTAGCATATTTTGAACGAATTCGGAATGTCTAAGGTGGAAAACAACCCAACCTTTCCATAAGGAAACAATTATAGAAAAAGAATTTTCTTACACTGTATTCATGTCTCCGCCAGCAGTAATTTAAAAGCAGCTAAGGAGAACGACGACACTATTTGTAAGATGGCACATTCAACGTCCCAATGTGCCAAAATGCGGGATAAACAATTATTGATTATTTTTTTTGATTGGTTTTCACACACTTTTGAAACAAAAATTATATGCTTTTTTACTGCAGACAAGTTGTTGCCTCAAAACACAGCAGAAATCTTCCAATCAGGGCTGCCAACTCTCCTTAGTTATGAGGTGCCATACTGAGGATAAAAAAAGTGCCAAATAGAAAAATAAAAGTGCCAAAAAAGGTGTAATTCCTTTTAATCATTCATATTTAGCAATAAAATAAAGCCACATTTTCAAAACAAAAGTGCAATGATAAAATAAGATAAACCAGTTGAATAGCCCTTATAAATTAGAAAATTTTAGTTGAGAAAAAGAAATGCACGCAAAGGATTTCAAAAAAATGTATTGAAATGTTATTTTTTTTTTACAAAAGTGCCATTTTGGCACTATGTGCCAAATTGAAAAATTAAGTGCCATATGAAGTAAAATAGGGACAAATGGCACGGTTTGAGCCAAGTTGGCATCCCTGCTTCCATTAACTTACAAATATTAAAATGTGAAATATCGAGGGCTTGAATTAATACCCTCTATCTGCAATTTGCACAAAAACTAATTTGTGATTTTAGAAACCATCTGGGACTTATTACCTGTCGTTATATAAGGTAGCATTAATATCACTGATGACAGTTAAAGCTTAGGAGGATTTTTATATCAGAATCTCATCTTTGTGAAAAGTGTGCAGATAGAGGGTATTATTGAATATAAGAGAAAGAGAAATAATGTCAATGGATTTTATTTCGTTTTTAAAAAGGTAATAATGTCAATTGACTTTATTTCGCACCAGGGTGGGAAATAAAGTCAATTGACCTTATTTCCGTTGATCTTATTACCTGTCACCGGCGGTGTCACGCTCATTTTCCAAAATTGTACCATAAACGTATTTCTTGGTAAAGAATTGTTGCAAGCATCAATTTTGAATAAATTAGCTTTAATATTTACTGATTTATCGAAGATTTTGTATTTCTCTAAAATACCGTTATATAGGATGTGGGCGTGGTTATCGTCCGTTTCTAAAAAATTTCGGCGGTTTTGTATGCTGTACCAAGGCCACTGTGCCAAGTTTGGAAGAAATTGGTGCAGCGGTTACCAAGATATACACTTGTAACCATAAGTGGGCGTGGCTACGCCCATTTTGCAAAAATTTATAATATTCTTATTTTAAGTCTAAAAATTATTGTAAATATCAATTTTGAGTGAATTATCTGCAGTAGTTACTAAAATATCGCAGTTTTCGTATTTGTGGAAATTACCGTTATATGGGAAGTGGGTGTGGTTAAAGTCCGATTTCGCCCATTTTCAATACCAACCTACCTTGGATTAAGGGAAACCTACATACCAAATTTCGTTGAGATATCCCAATTTTTGCTCGAGTTATCGTGTACACGGACGGACGGACAGACGGACGGACAGACAGACATGGCTTAATCGATTTCTTTTTTCATCCTGATCATTTATGTATACATTTGTCTATATCTATCTCGATTCGTTTTGGCTGTTACAAACAACCGGTATGTGAACAAAATTAATATACCCTTGTGCACAACTGCGCTCGGGTATAATGACGTACAAGAAATAGCGAAGAAATTTTCTTGAGTCAAATTTCCTTAAGGCAGTACGCAGTTCTTAAGAAATTTGCTACGCTTTCTACTACGATTTTCTAAATTTTTTTGAGAAAAAAGAGCGCAAGGCAACACAGGTTTGCAACAGAAATATATGCCCGTTCCATTTCCACAAGGCTTTTTTCGATACGGAATTTTTATGTTTTTATGTTGAAAATAGAAATGGGTTCTTGACCGGCAATAAAATAATAAAAAGTATATAACTTTTTAACACTTAATTGCTAGTTAGATGCTATTAAATTTGATTACAATAATAAAAAAAACTGAATTTTTAAATAGAATCTTCTATAATCGAAATCCGGAAATCCGGCCGGATTTTAGCCAGGATCCGGCCGAATAGTCGGATAACAGAAAAAAGGCCGGATAAGCCGGATTCCGGATATCCGGCGGATACCCGGCACATCCCTAGTATTAATTAAAGAAAAAATTCAAAACAATATTAATTATAACTTTCGTTTTCAATTATCCTTTTGGAACATGTCAAAAATGTCCTGCAAAAATATTATTCTTCAAGATTTTTAAATTTGAATGCATTTTGAAGAATCTTAATTTAATTTAAATCCTATTAATCTATATAGGGATATTGAAGGATAAAAATTGCAAAGGATATTTTAGTTTAATGAATTTTTTCGATTTACTAGAAATGCGCTAAAATATGGGAAACATATCGAATTTCTCGCATTTTCAAAGTTTTAGTGCACGGTTAATTCAAGTTATTAACTTTAACTTCCACTAAAAGTTGGCAGTGTTGCCACAAAAAAATTACGAAATCCGAACAAATTACTCAAAATTTTCTTATTACAGATATGACTTGTGTACTGCATACTATTTACAGGTACTTAGTATACAAATTTATTACATTCTCCAATTTAATTGGTACATTTGTTCTTGCGGTTCAAACAGAGTATCACCGTTATTTTTTATGCCTAAGTTTGTATATAATATTGCTGAGACTATATCAGTGCTCAATCTGGTCCTCAATTCAGTTGTAAACATTTTTAAACTACTAAATATACGTTCTAATGAAGCATTAGAAAAGGGCTATATTTACGGTGACCATATTAACGAACGTAAAATAAAGGACATTTTTCCCAATGATTTTAGAATGCGAACATACAAATGATAGTAATTTAGATCAACTATTTGCCAGTTAATTATATTATTAAATTGTACAAGTTCCTCTTCTCGAAAGGCGCTGTAACCGGATTTTAACCGATTCCGAAAAATGACACCAAATCCTTATCAAGGTCTTCGCCATCCTTTGCTGCCACAATGCGCTTATCATAATTGAGCGGAGGTTTATTGTTATTTTTCAGTGGATCTGAAAACTTAGCGTGCAACACGATTCTGGGCACAACAGAATTGAAATTAATTTTACTCAAAGTATATTAATTTTTCCGGGAAAATGTCTAAATATTAGTTAAATTTTTTTTGCAATTACATAAATTTCCCCTTATCACTATTATCAAGGATTCGTGACCCTTAAGTGGGGTGCGAAGCAAACTGACGAAGGTTTTCATTCTGTTTTATTATGGACATTTTTATTTTTTGACCTCTGCAAAATCCAAAGCTAATTTAAACGACTGTTTAAGAAATAAAGGACAAATGGCGTCCTTTATTCTGACAAAAATTACAAAGGACAGGGGGTTAAAATAAAGGACAGTCCTTTAAAATAAAGGACGGATGGTCACCGTAGCTATATTAGTAATGCAGATATATTTTTTTTTTAATTGGGAAACTTATAGAACCTGAAGAATCTTTTAATTCAAAAACTTTTCCTATAATTTTCTGGATCTAATGAGGAATCACTATGAATATCCTTATGATCGAACAATGCGCGTTCTCTCCATTCGTTACCGAGATTTTGCATGTTTAAAATAAGTTGAAATGAAGAATGAAATGAAGAAAATTATCGATAACATTATGAATATTTAGCAGCAAATGCAGATATGCTTAAGAGCGAAAAACATCACACAAGCGGCTCGACAAACCAAGCGAAATATCCCTTTCTTTAAAGCTATTTATGTTGTGTATGGGGGAGTTTGAAGGTTTGACAAGCCGCCATGTTGACGTTTGATCAAACCGCTTACGTTTTGTATGATAAAATCGCCTCGTTCGTAATGTAATGAGGACGCGAGAGAGATAAATCGAAGAAAACCAAACCCTTTTACATTGTGAACCGGAAGAAATCTAAAATTATTTGCGTGAACGAGTCATGTTTGCATGGTGTATGGCGAATGGGAAAAGTAGGTTTGAAGAATGTTTGACAAGCCACTTGGGTGGTGTATTTCGCTCCTTATAAAACTTCGGAAAGCTTTTTGTTCAAAAATTTGCAGAGCGATTTAACAACTCTCTTGTGTAAAACATGGCTGCATTTGTTATCTGCAAATATATCGAGAGAAAATTCCTCAAAATATAAATCCTCCAAAAATACTCAAGCGCACCCGAAATTCCTCACGTTTTGAGGGATTACTCACAAAGTGGCAAAACTAGTTATCGTTATTGCACGGCCATAAAACTTCATATATGTATATGCTATTTAGTCTAAAAAGTACAAATATAGAAGGTATGCATATCAAAAATTGCAAACAAATTTTTGTCCATATATTCTTGGGACAGTCTAATCTACTTGAAAACACTAAAAACATATGTATGTAGATACCTGTAAATTCGTTTTCTCCTGGTTTTCTCATCTCTTTTTATTTTTTCTAAAAGGCCCTATCTGCTCTACTTTGCTGCGGACACATATTCCATCCTCCATATCTGTCTGATTATGGTATTATTTACGAATGGCTGGACATGTTGCTGACATCTAAAGACGAAAAGGTAATTAAACCAATATGCGGGTTATATGTTGCTTTATGCTATGTTATGTTAAATTATGTAATATTATGTTATGCTATAATTACAACAACTAGTATTTGCTTATTAAAACTTAATGTAATTTCATGTCCATTGGATGTTTTTTCTTTTAGATATATCTCTTAGCACGAGATACTGTTGTCTTATTACTTGAATCGAATCCGGACTGTAGTGTGCTACTTGAGTGGGTTATTGATCGCTGTTATACATCGACCCCCCGTGAAGCAGATGCTTGCTTTGTAGCTCTGGCAGCAATTTTTAGTGCAAGGTAACTGTTTAAGGAGAAATATATTTATTTATACCCAGCGGCGCACTGCTGTATGGGATCCGTGCAGTCTACCTACAATGTTAATTACATTTTCAAATTGGTCAGCGGTGTTGTAGGCAATTATTTATATTGTGGCAGGACCCCATTAAGCAGGGCGCTTCTGGGTAAGTACTAGGGTGATTGGCTCCAATTCGTGCTTTGCTTAATGTTGTGACACAAATGGAGATATCTACACTTTTACTCCACCTCCGAAGAATCTGCTGTTTTTCGTAATCGCGGAAACTAGTTATTTAATCTAGCCAAATAAAACTACCAAAAATTAAACTGGATTCAAAGTTCGCTTTTACAGAACGTTTTCTAGATTTTAGGAAAGTGTGCTCTTTTTACAAACCGAAGGCTTCACTGAACTATAAAAATAAATTGCTGGATTGCCTAGATGTATGTATGCTAACAGAATTACACAAAATCAAAAGAAATGAGAGAGTGTAGCCATATTTTATAAATTAGTGTTTGCCAATGCATACTTCAACATTTCCCCTCATTGTATAATAAAAAACAAATTTTAAATGAAACATTTGGGTCAAAAGTAAAATTCATTCAGTGGTTTGGTAAATATATCTGCAATTTGTTCTTCTGTGCAAACGTATTCCAAGTCGAATTAGCCTTCTTGAAATTTCTCCCTTATGAAGTGATATTGAACATCAATATGCTTCGTTCGCTTATGGAATACAGGGTTTTTGATTAGTCGAATCGCGCTTATGTTGTCCATGTATAACTTCACCTTCAAATTGCTTTCCATCGAAAGTTCGGCCACGACCGACTTTAACTAAACGAGTTCTTTTGTGAAATCTTCGGACTATCATATATGTACATACGAGGTATTGAATTTGACGGATACGTGGTATTGCGCGCCAAGTGACGATATTACGATTCTTTCGAAGACATGGATAACTGACTGCTGCCTGATCGATTGCATCTGAAACATTTTCAACCCGTAGCTTCGCTAGATTCAAAGAAATATTTGCACCGAGTTTGGTAGAAATGATAAATCGGTTACGCAGATATGTATATGGGCAAATCTCCGGAACCATGCGAATCAGCGCTAAAAAACGTAAATTTTTAAATTGAACGCGTAAAAATAAATTAAACCGTGCGACAGTCAATTTTACACACGAAAAAATCAATGCATTCACAAAACTGCGGGCCAAATATAGTAAAAGCTCAATAAAAATATTAAAATTAAATGTTAATAAGCCACAATGACATTGACAAATACATAGTTTAGGAGGAGCCTGCCTGAAACTCTACAAGAAAGCAAATGTATGTACAGAATTGACAACAACAACCACGCTGCCAAGTTTAAATAGCCGCAAAGCAGCTGCACTTGATAGCAGTAGGTTGAATAAGGAAAATGAATTAGCAACACGAGTTTACGGGGTTTGCATAGCTCAGTGGTTAACGCTTCTGACTTTACACAGCGATGACGCGGGTTCGATCCCTGCTGAAGTCTAGAAAAAAGAACTCTGATGAGGAGATGTGGGGATCTCCGAAATAGCTGCTATAACTTCTACTACTTAGACTAGACTTTGTAGCTTTTTCCATTTTTCCTCATAAGATAATCGTGGTATAAAGCTCAATAAAAATATTGAAAGTAAAACTGAGTTTTTAGTTTTTCTCTCTGACGTCAGGAATTTTTTAAAAAGACTTCGAAAATTTCTAGAATTTGATTGAAAATGATAACTACTACATACCCTAATTCATCCTTCTAATTTTATTAGTTTTAGATTGAAAAAAATTTACACTTCTCGTTATAAGATATTGATAGTTACAATATACATATGTACATAATTGAAGATACTGGAATCGTTATTTTGGAACCATGTATGCGCTCTAAAAGAACAAACTGACCGTATGATGTACGGTTTAAATACTTTAATTTTTTTTTGTATACAAGGGCGTAGCCAGCCTTTCACCTAGAGGGCAGGAGTTTATTTAGAGGGGAAAAATGTATTTGATTAAACTTTTTTCTTTGTGTATGTAAATAGAAATTTTTGTGATTAAGAAAGTATAAGTTTTCTGGTATCCTTTACAACGATACTAATATTTTAAAAATCGGTTTGTAATTTTTTTGTTTAAAATATTTTATTTATAAGAAAAAGGTATTGTTTGCTTTTAAGTGTTGTTTCTCAAATTTTTATATACGAAGTATTCAAATATGCATACCGGAAGAAAGGGTATTTAATTGCCTTTACAACTATATCCAATTTTTAAAATCGGTTAGTAATTTTTTTGTTAATTTTTTTTATAAAAGGTATATAAAGGTATTTTTTAATTTTAAGTGTTTTTTCTCAAGTTTTTATATACGAAGTATACAAATGCGCATATCGGAAGAAGGAAAGTTTGACTGCGTTTACAATGATATAAACTTTTTAAAAATCGATTAGTAATTTTTTTGATTAAAATATTTGTTTTTTTTTATAAAAAAAAAAAGGTTTTTTTCTTTTAAATGTTTTTGCTCAAATTTTTACATACAAAGTAAACAAATATGCGTATCAGAAGAGAAGAAGGGGGTCTAGTCACGTTTACACCGATACCAACTTTTAAAAAATCAGTTCAAAATTCTTTGAAATATAAGGTTTTTAATTTTTCGAAGACCCGACCTTTGCCCCCTTATAGCACCTGTAATATAAGTTTGCAACAAAAGTTATAAACCATTTAAAAAAGAGCAAAAGGCGGTATCCGACTGTATTTTTAGTTTTTTAGTTATTTACATATAATAACTTCGAAAAACGGCTTTTTTACCTATCACTCAATCTCTTAACAAAAAATGGTTTGGTATTGTACCCAGCCGAGTGCTGTACAGTGTAATGAATACAGTATCTTCATTAATGTATATTGTAAATATCAATTTCTTATAAAGAGAAGTGTACAATTTTTTTTTATCTAAAACTAATAGCTATCACTTCTACCATTTTTTCAAATTATTGTTGCTTTTCCACAATAAGTTTTCACTGAAAACGGCCTCAAGCTCATAAAAATTGTTGAATAAAACTAATAAAGTTAGAAGGGCGAAATTCGAGGATGTGGTAGTTTACATATTAGTCCTTTTATTTTTTTTTCAAAAATAAATATTGTAAACTGCCAATGATATTCAAGGATACAATTTTTAAATAACATTTTCAACATTTATTAGTCCTGGTGACACCAAAAATTTTTATTTTTTTAATCTACAGAATTTTTCCTTTTAACTGATACTCATATTGTTACTCTACAATGCACCAGATCTTTTAAATATTTTGTTTTATTCAATCTTATCCTGGAAATTTTAAAGTCCTTTAAAAAAAAATCTTGACACGTCAGAGTGAAAAATTAAAAACGCAGTTATACTATATTTGGCTCCTAGTTTTGTGAATATATTGATTTTTTCGAGTGTTTAAAAAATTTTTGCGTTTTCTTGCACGGTATAATCCCAGTCGGAAAATTTAATGTATAGTGATCGAAAAAATAATCAGTAAAACAACCCTTTTCACATTCGAAAATGCATTTTTCCCCCAGGGCGATGTCCTAAGAACAGTGGTATTAAATTTTGCATTGCCTAGTATCGAGAAATGAATGTGATTTAATATTAAATATTTGTGACTTTTTGAATACATTAGAATGCTGATTACATATTAAAGAGTAATTGGATGTAAAACTCAGAAGAAATACATTAGATTATTTATCACGCATGGAATGTATTACTACTTTCCCCACTGGGATAGGGGGGTTATATATCGGAAAATGAATAAGATGAAATGAAATTAATGTTTAATTTCTAACCAAACCTATGTATGTAACTAAATCGCCTAATGGTTTGCCGAGCCGTAAGCATATGTTTACCTATCAAATTTCGTGAGTACCTGGTACTTACACCCAAGACATAACAAGGTAGAAGTGATTTCGACATTTCTCTCTTTTGAACTGCGACTAAAATGTCAACTCTTAACCCTATACTATTCAAAATTTTTAATTTTTTTAATATATATTTTCAATTGTGAGCTGTGCGACTGATTTTAAATACATAATAAAATTAAAAGGAATTGTTGTGTTTGACAAGAGCCAGGACAACAAACTTGTGCGTTATTTTAAAACTCCGAAGTATCAATGCTTCATTAGGAGACTCTTCACGTGTGCGCGAAGACCATTTTAGTGCCAGTGACTTTATTTGTTGCCCATCGCAGCCGGGTATTTCTAAGCGGACGCGTTTGTTCCCAGGTGCAGGAATTATTATACCGAATATGAAGAGAAAATCTTCCACTCATATACATGGATATACCAAATTTCAAATGGTGGTCTAACAAAACCTAAACCGGAATTCCTTGTTGACATAAAGAAACTGAAACTAACTTTTAATAAATTTAATGGAAAGGAAATTTCGAATTGCAAAAATTCATTAGCTGAATTATTGAAGTTAAGTTCTGATATAAATTTAGAATAATCAAACCTTTTTTAAATGTCTAATATACTTTAGAATTAAGAATTTGAATAAAAAAAAATAAATGCTTAAAAACATAGTAAAAGCAAGAAAATTGCCAAAATGTGTTTATAAATGAGTGTGTTCCACTTAGTGTGTACTTTTGTGTAAGTATGCATTTCCACATTTACATTAAAACGAAAAGGCAATACCTAAAATGAAGCTGATTCTAATGAGATTTTAAAAATTTTCATATCTGCAAAAACTTTAATTTCAAAGATATTAGCCCGCAGTTGTAGTCAAAATAAAGTCGACTCTAAAGTTAAAAGCCGCTTTTTTTGACAGATATTCCATTGAAAGTTATGTCAAAAAGCTGCTTTTAACTTTAGGAGTCGACTTTATTTTGACTATAGTTTGCCAGAATTCGGAAAAGGGGGCGTGGCACCACCCATACTAACTAAAATATAAAAATAAGTATCGTTTTTGGTGTGACCATATAACTTGAGAACGGCTTCACCAAATTCAACCAAATTTGTGCGGCATATTC